ACAGGTAGTTTTCTCTGACCCTATGATTCCATTGTTAATCTGTCTCTGACTCTTTTCTATGATAGAGATGGCACATCAGCCGCACATACTCCGCACATATGCATACCAAACTGAGAATATGTTTGTAAACTGATGGAGATTGCATGTGTTAGAACTAATAGGGTGCGACACACAAAACGCCCGACTACCCAACAGTACCCAACACCTTTCGTCTGCACCTTCCCAACATAACATATATGAGACACACAAGACAGCTACCAAACTGATTTGTTGAGCCTGTTACCCACACAGGGGAGATGTCCCTATATGCTGTCTGGGAAATCGTAGACACACAGGTAGTTTTCTCTGACGCTATGATTCCATTGTTAATCTGTCTCTGACTCTTTTCTATGATAGAGATGGACTCGTTGTGTCATATTAAGAAAAAAAAAAAAATGCTCAGACCAAAAAGAGGGCCGGTAACGCTTTTTTCGTCTGGAGCTGCCCCACTTTTCACCCACGGCTCAGGAAAAAAACTCTCACCAACTTGCACCAACCTCATTTTACCTGAGGCGTGGGTTCCTGGTCAGAAGGCCCAGACATTTGATATTGAGCAGCAACAGAGTAGCGTAAACCACAAAAGATGGCATCGCATGGTACAGACTTGTCCAAGCCTCTTGTCACCACCACTGGACAGGCAGACCTGCTCCTCCTCCGATGCGGGCCGTGTGCGTCTATGTGTAGGTATGTTGTGGTGATCGCTGTGGAAGGAACGGAGGGAGGGTGGGATGAGACAAGGTTCACCAGCAGCCTCAAAAAGAGCAATTTTCTTGCCTACAACCAGTTCAGGAGAACACCCATACTACGAGCTGTAGTCTAGGCTACTCGAACTGCTGGGAGGTGACCCAAAAGTTGCCTTATGTTACTCTCTGTCGGCGCCATCTCCTCTACACAGCTGTTGCGGTTTGGAATGCAGCTTCAAAAATCACTGTGTGAGGGGTGATTGTTCTAGGTTCGAGCTGCTGTTGCTGCTGCTTGCTGCTGCTGGCCGCCGCCTTTCTCTGTCGGTTGATTAAAGCAGGACGCGGCTGAGAGTTGCATGCTACTGCAGAAGGTTTGGCAGGGTGTTTCTCTGCGGTAACAACACCCCCGCTAGATGCTCCTGGCACCTTGGATGGTATAGATGGCAGCACCCAACCAGGCAAACCTATTTTCTTGCGTGGAAGAAGAGGCGTGGGGAACTGCGCGCGTGAGTCTTTCGGCCAATCAACGGCGGGCCGTTGCCAAGTCATGCCGAAACAACATCTGAGCCTCTTTTCGGATCTTTTTGATGCCAATTTTCATGTGGGCATTTTTTTCTGGGCATTTTGTCTGGGCAAAACGAAGCATATTTCCGAAACGCCCCTATACTATACTATATACTATAGATTACTATATACTCTATACTTGTGACGGTACTTGCGATGTTATTGCTCCACTGGTGCGAGTAACTTTTCTTACATAGCCTACTTCACCAGGCAGATCTCCACCCACGGAGCTCCAATCGAACTGAAACCAACTAACTGCATCGTGTAGGTATGCTACAGGTATCTAGCAAGTTAAGGTCCGTTCACAGCAGTTTTTTCTTGTTTCACTTTGTTGATTTTTACCATTCCCCGCGGGTGGTACAAATTAATAAATGCAATATTTGTGCCCCCTTGGCGAAAAATTAAAAAAAGTGAAAAAAAAGAAAAAGAAGCTGTGAACGGACCTTTAGAACTACACCACTTACACGGTTTTATTCAACTGTGTGATACTTTTGTACTGTGGTCAACACATAATCCAATACACACATGTCTTGGTATAGTCCATCCTCAGTGCGGACCACCTTGCTTGGTGTATGTAGTAAGCGACGGGTTCGGTAAGGCCTCCTGCGGCAACCTGGTGGTCTCGCCAATATTTCCAAGGGATTACTCTGTAACGGTTTTTAGACGGACAGGTTTTCGGTGGTAATGCCATTTGACGGCAATTGTTTNGGGGGGGGGGGGGGGGGGGGGGTGGAGAGGGGTACTCTTATGTTTTGCATGCCTTAGCTTAGCGGTTAGACCATTGACCACGCGTCCTCGAGAGGACGGAGCATTGTTCCCACAGGACCGATCACCGATGGCCAATCGTTCCTTTCTTTCCACTTTGCCAAAGGTGGCCCAAAAATGCCTTCCCTAGTCTATCTATCCTAACGATATCCCTTCCCGCCTTTTCAAACCACTTCCTACTCCCCAGTACCTTTGCCGTCCTCTCCTCTCTATTCCATGCCTCAAACACCACCCTGTACGTCCCTTCTATTTTTCCCAGCTCAGCCATGTACACTTCCCTCTCCTTCTTGCACAACGGCCATTCCGCGACTACATGAACACGGTCTTCACATTCGAAGCCGCAATCACATTTGTTTGAACTTGTCGTCTTCGTCGTCTACCGTACTATCTATGTCTTCGCCGACTTTCTCCAAAGCCTATGTCCCCGGTCCTGAATTTGACCTTAAGCTTTGTCCCTGCATCCATTGGTCCATGTAGGTAATCCTTGAACCCTATTCCTTCCTTCAACATTCCATACACTTGTAGACCCTCCTTATCCTCGGTTTCTTACCTTAGATTATGTTCTTCAATCTCGGCACAAGCAACGGATACTTTTTCGTTGAACCCCTTTGAACCCTCCGTTTCCAGCGTTTCATCTTCGTCGATGTCGAACTGACAACAGAATTGTAGTTGCTGTTTGTTGTGTAGTTGGCAGTGGTGGCGCAGTTTGGGTAGATACAACACAGAGTGATCATTAGATCCAAAACAC